ACTAGGCTGCTTGGAAGTTCAGCGGGCAGTAGAGATCTATATTTTGGATATCTCAGTTATATGGAGGGTCTCCGTATACGCTCCTTTTTCTAACTATATCGTCGCACTCTGTTTTCATTTTTTAGAGCTTTACTGGGTATGATTTGCATACTATGCAATTCACTAATTGTAAGTGTATGATTCATTGAACTTTAGTTATTTTAAAGACTTCTGCTGCCATCACCACAAACTAGATTTTAGATTTTCGCATCACCACAAACTAGTTTAAGATTTTCATCACATCACATGGTTTTCTTCTGCCTGTTCTGTGATATGTCATAAGAGCACTGGAAGATTGCCTCCTCACCATGCTGAGCTCTCTAAGGGCTTAGGCCTTTCAACATAGGAAATAAAAGAGTGTGTCTGTAAGGTGGCGGTGGGTGGGGAGGAAACACTATCCCTGTCGTAGGTGGTAAATAGGAGATAAAGTAGGATTTCCCAACCTACTTTGCCAGTCTCATGAAAGTTGATACCTCCAGCTTTTAGAAGGAAAAAACCCTGCAAATTAACGCATTTACCTGATTATTCTCTTAAGTGGAATTTCTTGAGTGTTGAGCAGAGTAACTTCCTAGACTTGGTGATAAATGAAATGTGTTTTGCTTCGGTCTACTATTGCTGGAAATGCAGCGATGTCTTGGTTGGAAAGTACAGGTCGCCGAGACACCACTGCAACTCTCGCTGATCAATGGTTTTTCTTTTGATCATAGTGCTGCATTTTGACCAGCTGCTGCTTAAGTCACGCTCGAAAACTGGTAAACTTTTGCTTTGGGTATTAGCAGAGATTTAGAACTTTGCTAGTCTTCAGTGCCAGATTGTATCATGATGTTGTGTTCAAATCCTGTTTATTTAAATACCATCCCTCTGAAAAGTGTACTCTTTTTAGAGCTTTTATAGATAGGCAAGTAGAAGTGAGGAATTTACTTTAGATGTGTAGTAAGATTATGTCACTTAAAAAAAAAAGTCGGTACTTAGGATATTGAATTAGAGGTTGGTACTCAGCTGTGTTATTTGTAAAATGTTCTCCTTGTATAGGAGCTCCCTCATTCTTTGCAGTTATAAATATGGACATTTTCTCTCCATAACTTCAGATAGCCTAACAACTCAACATCCCTTGAATAGTTGTGAAGTACTTCACTATTGTGAAGTTTTAGAGGTAAACACACATAATTAGCGATAAGTGAAAGTTCTGATCTTCAAAACTACATCACCCTGAGGTAATGTTCAGATAGGAAAGCTCCCAGAAAGCAGGGGTGGGGTGTACCTAACTCTTCCCTGTGCTTTCACCCACTACAGTGGTTTTGCTCCTTAGGTCACATTGGTTTTGCCGTAGTATTTGTCTTTCATAAAATTTCTCCATAAAATATATGGAAAAATTACCTGTCTTCCAAACCATCAAACCTTAGGAAACCTTTCAGCCTCAAAGCTGGTAGAGTTTTAATGATCACTCTTACCCAGAAACAGTGATAATTTATTTTGTTATTTGCTATTACGTTGGACTTACTGATTTATTGGTACCGACTTGATCTTATGTATACTTGGTGACCTTAAAGTAAATTACCTGGGTAGTTGTGGTTATTTGACAAGTTTTTATTGAGCACACAGCCGCATGGGCTCTGGGTGTGCAGTGGTGGAAAGACAGACAAGGTCCTTGTTTTCGTGGAGTTTAAAATACTATGGAGAGGGGGCGCCTGGGTGGCGCAGTCGGTTAAGCATCCGACTTCAGCCAGGGCACGATCTCGCGGTCCGTGAGTTCGAGCCCCGCGTCGGGCTCTGGGCTGATGGCTCAGAGCCTGGAGCCTGTTTCCGATGCTGTGTCTCCCTCTCTCTCTGCCCCTCGCCCGTTCATGCTCTGTCTCTCTCTGTCCCAAAAATAAATAAACGTTG